CGTGTTCTGTTGGTAGAGCAGCCTCTCTGAAGGTTGTAAGTTCTTGTGGTCTGGGATTTTGATTCGCCCCGAGTGTATGGTGTGGTACTCGAATTATAAGCGCACGAGGGATAGCCAGAGCTCATATCATAGCCTCCGGCCATTCATATATGTATTTATGTATATGCATACATATGCATGTATACATCTACATGTGTATATGTATATGTATACATCTACGTATCTATAAATATACATAAATACATATAAGTACATTATAATTATGATAATTAAACTATAATTAGAAAACCCATAAATTAGCCATATTTTAATGTGGTATTATTTCAGTTTTATAAATATACAAATTTAGAATTGAGGTGTTAGATTTATAAATATATAGAAATTGTGTGTTATGTAAGTAAATATTTTTTCACAAGTTACCAAAAATCATATCTTTTTATTTCTTTCGAATACGGCTCTTAAATGGAGAAATTATTCCATGCGGACGGCTTATACAGAGATGCATGCACCGTCTGATCTCAACCGTTGTTTTTATCTATTTTTTAAAAACAAAAAAACAAAACACTGATCTCAACCGTTGATCATAGTTTTTATCTATTTTTTAAAAACAAAAAAACAAAACATGGGCCCACCGAAATATAATCATTGACCCACCGAAATATAATTTTGGTCTGATCAACGGTGGAGATCGGACGGCGCATGCATCTTTGCATACGTCATCCGTATGGAATAATTTTTCCTCTTAAACGACCCAATCAATAGTTAGGGATCATGTCGTGCGAGCAACAAATTTTCAATTTTTGTAATTCGATCACGATTTCAGAATTAAAATTATATTTTATAATTTGTTTTCAATTCAAAATATTATTAAAAATATTTAAAATAATCACATAATAGTAAAATAAACAAGAACATATAATCTGTTTCATTTTTTCAAAAGAAATTTTAACGATATATATTTGAAGGGCATTTTAACAATATATATTTGAATAACTTTTATAATTGCATGCATAACACTTGAAATCCTCTATAGAATCAAAAGCAACACTATTTGTTGAAGAAAAAATAGGACCGCTCGATACCTGAGGAAAAACCAAGAACTGTACAGCCAAACACTTGAAGAAAACCAAGAACTGGACTGCCGAATAGGAATAAACTATAAATGCCGAACACCTTCTTGACAGTCGAAGGAGAGTGAAACCACAACATGGAAGAAAACAGAGAAAAAAAACGAAAAACTATAGAAAAAATAATGTGCAAACAAGAAACAAGAACAACAAAGAGTTACGTGGTTCGTTACATAATACTTACATTTACGGGAGGGAAACCAATCATCAAATCCACTAAGGCAATAAAGAAAAATTACAAGGCTTTTACATTGAGGAATGAGCTCTCATTTTGCCATGATCTCTCTCTCAAATCTCCTCGATACAAGATCTTCAAGATTAATAAGCTCTCATATTGTCATGTTCTCTCTCTCGAATCACCTCGATACAAGATCTCCAAGATCCTCCCCCTCAATTCTTGAAGCCTCTCATCTTCTTTCTCTAATCAATTGATTTGTCTTTCTTTGATTCACTCTTCTCTACAACCCTCCAACATTTATTTATAACAAAATGAGACCTCCCAAGTAGACCCTGTTCATCAATTGGAAGCTTCTATGAGGCTTTAACAACTTCTATGAAATACGAGTTTGTCATTGCCTTAGTTAGCCAATTGTGAGTCATTACAACACTACTATTAACTTCTAAAAGTGAAAACACATTTTTATTTAAAACTTAAGACATCAAAAAGCTATAAATGTAAATATCAAACCTAAGTTATTGAATATATAAATACATAAGATTTGTATGTTGTTCATGTAAATTTCTTTATATTTCATTAATATCGTGGAATAAGGTACAAGTAACACAAATAAAAGCCCAACAGAAAAAAAAAATAAATTAAATAAAAAAAATTCTCCCTATCGTCAAAGAAGGCTAGAGATTTTCCGTTGAATATAGCAAATAAATAAATAAATAAATAAATAAATAAATAAATAAATAAATAAATAAAAGAAATTACCAAGGGATTTACCGGGTCACTCTTCACTACTAAATTGACTGTTTGTCTTATTACAATATCTCGCCAAAAGAAAATGCCTTTTTAGCTGGTGAATCAAATTAATTTGAATTTAATTTGTTGAATGTCTTTGGAACTGACAATAAAATAGCCCTCCAACTAAGGCTGTTAAAATGGCTCGTTGTTCGCGAACAGCTCGTGTTTGGCTTATTCGCTAAGTTAACGAGCTGAAAACGAACAACACGAAGAAATATTTGTTCGTTCATGTTTGGCTTGAAATATTACTAATCAATTATATATATATGTTTAATAAGTAGTATTTTTAAAAATTTTAATTGACTACGAAGCTACAAAGATTTATAATCAATTAAAAGTATTAATTAAAAAATAGAATAAAAATTATTAAATTAGATTCAAATGCTGTTTTAAATCTTGCCCCAATCATTAATATCTTATGACCGTGTGGTTAGGGTTATCAAAATGACTCCTTTGTTCGTGAACGCCTCGCGTTCGGCTCGCTTTCGGTTCGCTAAGCAAACGAGCCGAACACGAACACACTTTTTAAGCTCGAAATATAAACAAACCGGACACGAGCTGTGCCTGGGCTCGCTCGTGACACCCCTACATCCAACAGCTACCTCCAACAGCGTATCAAATAACATTAATTGTGCCGATGAATTTAAAATATATTTTTTTTTGTTTTGATTTAATGTCATTAAGAAAAAAAAATAAATTATTTTTCTTAAGAAAAAGTAAAATATATGCTTTTATGAGCAACCTTACTGGAAAAAAAATTAAATTAAATTAAGCTGTATAAATCAAAATCATTTAGCTTATATTAAAATATTTTTTTGCACAAAAAAATCGACTTTTACAACTGTGAGCGTGTGTTCTGAAACAAGGAACTTTATCGTATCATGCAAACCAACCTTCACGTCACTTGTTAGACTAATATATATATATATATATATTGAAATCGGTATTTGGAAGAGGTCCAAATACCGATTTCCCATGCGCTAGGCCTCATGATGAGAGTCCGCATCATGTGTCTAAATATTCAAGAACCTGGTATCGTTGGGGATCAAACCCGTGACCTGAGGGGACTTATAGTGAACCCCACCAACAACAGGCCACGGCTTACGACGGACGGATGCACGCACGCACGCACACACGTATAAAAAGTGCACACAACTCATTTGGAGGCCTTGCTGGTAACTCTTGATTTTTGAACTATATTGGATATTCATTGTGACAAGATGAGTGCAAGCCTGTGATTTGATTAGGACAAAAAGGCTAATAAGGCGTTTATAATGCCCTTATGTCTATTGCAGGTGAACTATAAGTTATTTATTGTCTACTAACTCTTTTAGTTTGGCCATGAATTATATTTATGACCCATAATTTTTTAGGTGATAATTTATTATAAATATTGTGGGATAAATTTAAGTATTACTGTTTTATGCCACTATTAAGGTTCAAAGCATCTCTACGTTGTCCATCCAAAAATATTCAATCCACGCTCAAGACAAAAAGTTATATTAGCTTAAGGTTTAAACATAAACATTCGCTACAAGATTTAGGTTTTTTTCGAAGGCCACAATCCGTTGGTTAGGATATGGAAATTCATCGTTTTTAATGTTACTGATGGTGTTAAGCTCGTAGGTAAAACGTTTGTCGGTAATTCCAAAAACTAACTGATTTTCCGATTGTATAAATTTGCTAACGGCTATCCGATAATTTAATGTCGTAGCCTTTTTTTTGAGAAAAATGGAGTTGTTGGTAATCGTTGGTTCGTATCGTTGACGGTTCGTCCGTTGGACAGAGCGACGATATATACGTCTGAAAGTGTCGCACCCGTCGGTTTTTTGAATGAGGCAAAACTGTCGATTATACGACGTTTATGCATCGTTTTTTATAACTGGCGGGGTAACCGTCGAAAAAGTGTCGCACCTGCCGGATTTTTGAAGCACGTAAAACCGTCGGTTATACGCCGTTTGTGCATCATTTTTTATAACCAACGGGTTAACTATCGGAAAAGCGTCGCGGCCGCCGATTTTTTTACCAACGTAAAAACCGTTGGTTTAGCATCATTCAAGTTTCGTTTTGATAACTAACATGTTAACTATCGAAAAAATGTCACATCCGTCGGTTTTTTGATGCAGTTAAAAACCAACAGTTAAGCATCATTTATGCGTCATGTTTTATAACCGAAGGGATAGCTGTCGTAAAAGTGTCGTGCCCGTCATTTTTGTGTGACGCATATTGATCATCAATTATGTGCCGGATAGACATCAACAAAAATATCCATCGGTTAGCCGTCGGTTTTACCTACAGATGATTTTGAAACAGTCACATTACCAACAAAAAATCATTGGAAACATGTAGCATTAGGAAGAAAAAACAAAATTTTTCTTTTATATTTACATTACGACACATACTATCAGAACATTTAATATACAATTCCAAGCATGAAAAGAAATAACATAGCCCTCAAACAGTAATTTATCCAATCAAATAAGAAAATAAATAAAATTTATTTACTCTAAAATATGTTCATTACTTTTCACAGAAAAAATATATGTCCAAATGCACATAAATATAAGAAAAAAAGAAAAAAAAAGCCTCTTCTAATCATCCTCCTCTATCTCATTAACCTCATCGTCATCGTCCTTCACTGCTTTCTCCTCCTCCAATGTTGTCGCTGCCTTGTCAAGCTCCCTCATCCACTGCCGGAAGAAGTCCAACACAGCCTTCAGCTTGGCCTCCATGTTGGCCAACAACTCTGACCACATTTGAAAAAAGCGAGTCTCAATCTCGGTAGAGAATGCCGCAACACACCTGGAGATCTAGTCATTCTGTGCGATAAAGGTAGAAGCTGCATATGTAATGGTGGAGGGGTAAGCGACTTAGGCAAACCTTTGTGACCCGAGCTCATAGAATCGACCTTTCTTCTTCTCTCCAACAGCCTCCCTGCACCGGTTGTACTCGGAAGGATCATGTTCGTGGATCATAAGTAGTTACACTCAGTTAAATTTAACATTTATTAACATCAAGCTAGTTTAGCTCGTCAATTATCTAGGTCACACAAAATCTATCGTCAATCTAGGACTAGTCGGACCACCTTCTGTGGGTGTGCTCATGTACATCAGCAATGGAGGGCTCTCGTCCAATTTCTACAGTCTGTCTATAAAACAAAATAGTTATAATACATCTTTGAACTATAGAAAAACTTATAGAATAAATGAAATATTATCAGCCTCCGCTTGTATTTCATATTTGGGAGCACCCCAACAATTTACTTGGAGGGCCACATGCCTCCGCAGGCCAACCTCCTGTTCAGCTTTGCCTGCTCCCTCTTCTTCTAGTAGTCCAGAGAATCTCAGGCCCTAACCAGCGTGGCAAAAACATCATCTTCGAGCCAAATATGAAGTTGTCGCGATTTCTGGATATCGCTAAACATGTCCTAGAGGTGATCGCTACCTTCGCGCTGAAAGTTGTGGGGATGTGTGCTTCGTGCTCAAGACGTCAGGAGAATCGTGTATGCAAATATTTTAGAGATTATATTCGATTGATAAATATATCAAAATAACATGAGTTATTTGTGAACGATACTTACCGCAAACTCTTGAAACCAAAGATCTCGAAGGCCTCAAATTGAAATCGAATAGTGCGGCAAGGATCTTGTCTAAAAGGGGCGAGTTCAATTTCATTTCAAATGTACAAATTTATCAAGTGTTCCTCAACATTTTAAAGAACAAGACATAGCAATCAAGTTGTGTTATAGACATAAAAATGCGTGAAGTTGTATTATTAGCAATACGAAGTATTCATATGCAAAATTGTTTCTCTAAAACTTACTTTTCATTTGTTAACGACAACAAAATAATTCAAGTGAAAGAATACTTTGCAGAGCAATAAAAGCTTACCTTTCTGATCATGACTTCTGTTTGAAATATCCTGAAGACAAAAATAGCACAATCAAAAGCACAAAAATGAAGAATTCCTTAGCAAGCCCGTTTGGGACAAAAATAGCACAATCAAAAGCACATAAAAATATTTTTTTTTGTGCTATTGAATTATTGAAGATTTTCTAGTTATTGTGTTTTAATGAAAGCGCTATTTAAAAATTTTAACTAACATGTTAACTATTAGTTAACTTGTCATTTCTTTACTATCTTCTATTACTGCGCCCCTAATCATACAATTTTCTCTCTTATAATATTTGTTAGCTTGCTCTGAATCTTTATGGTTGCATAAAAATTTGGTACTTTTTTAATAGATTCTACACTAGATCTTGCACTATTTATTAAGGTTATGTTTTTCCTGTTTAAGAATTCTTGTATTCTAAATTTGGTTGTTTGGTTTGGCAATTTACTCTATTAGTTGGTTTGCTATTTTGTTTTTGTGCTCCGAGGTACTTTTGGAATGCCTTTCATCCTTAGTGCTTTAATCTATTTTAGTTCTTTTTGGGATTGTTGTTTTTACATTGGAAGTGTTGGATTTCTATTGAAATATTTAAGTGGATACTACACTAGGTCTTTAGTAATTTTACTTCAATCTATTGTTTTACCTACTACTTTCTCTATAACATATACTTTACTTGGTTATAGTTTTATGTTGCTTTGGTTCTGCTCTAGTCTTTTTATGGATTCTACACATACTTTTATGAAATCATTTTTTTTTTCGGGTTGCCTCTCAACTTCACTACGAGTTTTGTTAATTTTTTTTTTTTTCACGTTAATCTGATTTAACCTCTATCATGAAGCTTCTTTTTGAAATGATACTACACTTAGTCTGTGTAGTTCTTTTAAGGAATGTTAGTTTTCTTGTGGTGATATTGTTGCAGTTTTGTTCATACAATGTATTTTTAGAAGCTATGATGAAAGCCAAATCTATAGTGGCTTAACTAGCTGAATATATGAAGACTTAGTGCATCTTAATTTAGAATCTTATTATAAATACTTGAGCTTTGGTGACTACTTTCAATGAGAATGCCCCCTATTTCATCTGCCAATTATGAAATGCACTTACATGCTTCCTTCAAAACTATATGTACTATTCTTTCTTTCTATTGTTTATCATTGCCTCACACAACCTACATATTTCTAAATTGTATATCTCTGAGTTTATGAAAGCTATGTTTGGAAAATCTCATACACTAAGCAGTACCCACCAACTTACTTAATAGCTTTGGATGGAGTGCCATGCCTTTGAAAAATATTTTTTAGCTTCTACTTTTTGATCTTCTCTTTATTTATCCTTTTCTAACTTCTATTCTCATTTTACAAATATTTTTTTATGTTATTGAACTATTGAAGATTTTCTAGTTATTGTGTTTTAATGAAAGGTGGGTATGACCCTCATCTCTCTAATAATCTATGTAAAGCATCTTCAGACAATGCCTAAATCCATATGCTTTGAATGAATTACTAAGTCCATATGCTTGCATGTGGCACAATACCATCATTAAAACATTTATTAAATCATTACAAGTAAAGATTGCTAATTATGTTGTGTTGTTGTATAAAATAACATAAACTCTAAGTAAGCTTCAATAATATAGAAAAATTAATCATGATTTACAAACTACCTAATTCAGATCAAATATCTCACCATCATGACTTTATTATGAACTAAAAATCCCAAGTGAGCATATGTTGTTCATCAGCAATTCAATCAGCTTAAAAGTACCTGCAATGTATTGACAAAATTAATTTGAATGGCATTATAATGAAAGAAAAACTCGATTATGGTTTTTGTTAATATATAAATTTAAATATTATTCATGAATTTTCTTCAATTTAGCCAGCGAACATATGCTACAGCCAAGGAACAAATTACAGCGAATCAAACAGATAACAAAGCCAGCGAACATATGTTACAGACAAGGAACAAATTACAGCGAATCAAACAGATAACAATATGAACATGCACAACCAGTTGATGATATATAATTAAATATCATGCACTTATCAGATATTTCGTCCATGAGAATTTGGTTTGAGCTATTACAAATATATCAGTTTACTGTTTAGATAAGTAATTGCATTTTTCTTTCCTCTACTTCAAACTTAAAAAATATTGTATAGAGACAATTTAAGAGCGGTGTTGGTTTTTTTGAAAATATATACATGAGAATTTAGTTTGAACTGATTCAAATATCTCAATTTGCTTATTAGATCATTAACTGCATTTTCCTTTCCTATTCTTCAAACTTAGAAAGGATTTTACGAAGAAAATTTAGGCGCAATTTTAGTACATTTGAAAATATATTTATGAAAATTTTATTTTAGCTATTATAAATATCTCAGTTTACTTATTAGTTCAGTAATTACATTTCTCTTTCCTCTTATTCAAATTTGTTAAGAATTGTATGGAGAGAATTTAGTAGCAGTATTGATTCTTTTGAAAATATATCCATGATAATTTTAATTTGCACAATTGTAAATATCTCAGTTTACTTGTTACATAAGTAATTGCATTTCTCATTCTTCTTCCTCAAATTTGGAAAGGATTGTAAGGAGAGAATTTAATAGCAATTTTAATTATTTTGAAAATATATCCATGAAAATTCTGCTCGAGCTATTGCAAATATCCCAGTTTACTTGTTACATAAGCAATTACATTTTCTTTTTCCTCTTCAAACTTGGAAAGGATTCTAAAGAGAGAATTTATGAGCATTGTTGATTTTTTTGACAATATATTCAAGAAAAAATTTTTTAAGCTATTGAAAATGCATCACTTTAATTGTTCGATAAGAAATTGCATTTCCCTTTCCTCATTTGCAAGCTTAGAAATGATCGTAAGGAGAGAATTAAGAACAGTGTAGGTTCTTTTAAAAATAACCTATATTGTTCATGAGAATTTGGTTCGGACTAATGCAAATATCTCAGCTTACTTGTTAGATTATTAGTTGCATTTTTCTTTTCTCATTTTCAAATTTGGAAAGAATTGTATAGCGATAATTTTGGAACAGTGTTGGTATTTTTGCAAACATATCCATAAAAATTTGGTTTAAGTTAGTGTAAATATCTTAGCTTACTTGTTACATAGATAATTGCATTTCCCTTTCCTCTTCTTCAAATTTGGAAATGTTTGTAAGGAGAAAATCTAGTAGTGTTGGTTATTTTGAAAATACATCCATGATGATTTGATTTGAGCTATTGTAAATATCTCAGTTTACTTGTTACATGTGTAATTACATTTTCATTTCCTCTTCTTCAAACTTGAAAAGAATTGTAAAAAACGAACTATGAGCAGAGTTGGTTCTTTTGAAAATATATCCAAGAAAAACTGTTGATGCTGCTTTTCCAATAAGTGTTTGATTATTTTGCATTTTATGGAGACTATTAGAAGCACTGTTGGTTCTTTTTAAAAAATATACTTGAAATTTTTTTTTGAGTTGATGCAAATATCTTTATTTAGATATCAGATCAGTAATTGCATTTTTTTTTTTTGGATAAGCAATTTTTTGAAATAATTATGAGCATTGATGGTTCTTTCGAATATGTATCCATAAAAAAAACCATGTCGAGCACATGCAAATATCAAAGTGTAGATTTTATGCAAGTACAATTGCCCATTGAGTTGTCAGCTTTGAATTTTTTGGCTGCCATACATTTCTTATTTGGAATGTATAGTAATGCGATGGTGGAAGATAAAATTAAAAGGCTCAACCTGTTACCATTTGTCAATTGCATAATTGACAATTAGTATTTGAGACAAATAATATCAAGCCTTGAAGCCTATGTGACAAAATTGGTGTTAATTAATGGAGCCTTCTCTGATTAATTGAACTTGTTGAGCTTTAAGGGTGTGTTTAGGCTATTGTTATTTAACATATAAACTGAGATACGTGCATCAGTACAAAGTAATTTTTCCTGAATATATTTTCCAAAGAACTAATGATGCTCCTAAATTCTCACCATACGATATTTCTAAGTTTGAAGAAGATGAAAAAGAAACGCAATTACTTATCTAACAAGTAAACTGCAATATTTGCAATAGCTCAAATCAAATTCTCACGAATATATTTTTTTAAAAAACTGACAGTACTCATAATTCTCTCCATAAAAGGATTTTTTATATTGAAGAAGAGGAAAGACAAATGCAATTGTTGATCTAACATCTATGTGCATATATTTGGGGAATGGTTAATAAGTATTTATAATGAATTATGTGATGGTGCTTAGTTTCTGGTCAATTATGTAGGGTTGGTGGTTTGGTGCTTGGCTCACAAATTTGTTGGGTTTCTACACATGGGTTCTACATTGACCTGATTTTCGAAATGTGAGGGTGTAAAGCATTTTATTTTGAAATGTTGTGTAGATCAATGATGGAAAAAAAGCAAAGGGCTCAATCGATCACCAATTGCCAATATTTGTGATAGATATTATTTGGTCTTAGATCACATATGTCACGATTGACACAGATATTACGTGGTCTTAAAGTTTGAATGGTACAATTGGTGATTTTGGATGGAGCCTTCTTTGATAACTTAATCTCACTGAGTTCTACCTTGAATATCTTATTTTTTACCGAATTTTATTTTAGTTTTTATAAAATTTTTTAATTATTTACTAGTCCAAATATTTTAATTATATTATAGATCAAATGAGTAAACAAAAGAAATGTGAGTTATCTAATATTTGGGATAGAGGGACAACGATCACATTCTATGATTTGTGTTTGAGAGAGATAGAGATTGAGAATAGGTTAACCACGCAATTCAACAAGAAGGGTTAACAAAACACCACAAAAAACTTTTATGAAAAAAACAAGTAGACTGTATGACAAAACTCAGTTGAAAAATAAATGAGATTAACTTAAAAAAGAGAAATTATGAAAAGAGCTTAAAAGAGAGGCTACTGGATTAGACTGAGACTCTGTTAAGAAAACAGTTGATGCGTCAGAATAGTGGCGGGATAAAATTTTAGTAAGAAGACAATGTTTTATTGAAAAATGATTTTATTGAAATGCAGCTTCTTTAAAATCGATTTTCATTAATTGAATGTACTGCCCAATGTAAAAAAAATAAAACTTAGAGGCATTGACCCGGAGCTAAAGGAGAAATTTGAAACTATGTTCATCGGTGTTGTGGCAACAAGCATCAATGTCTGGGCTACAATAGAGGACCCCACCCAGAATTTGGATGAGCCTAAATGTGCTCATTCCAATGAGGTCCAGGCGAAACAACTGGAGGACCGAGAGCAAGGCGAGTCTAGTCAGTCCAAAGCGTCCTGGGCCTCTAAAGGGATAAGAAAATCAATACTGTAACGCCACTTATCCGAGCAGATCTCACAACTAGTAACTAACGGCACCAGCATCACATCTAATGCTCATACAACTCTGCATGGATACCCGACTACTATAGATGTTGTGAAGTTGTTGGACACTATTCCAAAGATTTTTTGTGAAATGCCCCTCTACTTGTTTGCTGTAAAACTTTTGGAGGATTGAAATAAGCGGGAGACTTTCTTAGCCCTGATGCCGGAATGGTGAATTCCTTACATCCGATATTTTTTAGAGAATCAAACTACCTAATTGTATTTTCTTTTTTATTACTATTTCAAATTTCTCGTTTATAATAATTCATATTTCCATGATGAACTATGGATTGTCTCATATTTAGGTGTCATTTCGGTATTAATGAATTTACGTATTTGTAGAGTTTTTATTAAGATTCATTCAACTAGTTACCTACACTTCTGTCATAACAGGTTCTTATTAAATTCTAACATGCAGTTTTTAAATAGATAGACCGCCAAATGAAGAGAAAATTATAGATAGTCGATAGAGCAATGATTCTGACCACAACAATTTGTGTCATCAATGAGTATTACCAGAAAAACCTGTGCAAGATAACTCATGTGTCATCATCATTTATGGGTGACAAATAATTTGGTGAACTACTCGAAGCTCATCCAAGCAGAATTCATAGCATCTTCCAGATGTCGAAAAATATTTTCTGCGATTTGTTCAACTAATTGCAGTCGCATTACATCCCAAGAAGTTCTAGCCATTATGTTTTTTATTGTGTCACACAATGAGTACATTCATGCTCTTTTGAGCGTTTCTAACACTTCACAAAAACAATTAACAAATATTTCAACATCTTTTTTAACTCTTTGGTGACCCTTAAACCATGCTTTTGCGTAAATACCACGAGAAATCCGTAGCGATCTGAGATACAGGCTATTCTTTAAGGTATTTGTATCTCTGTCTATTCTAACAATATTATATTAAAAAATAAAAATAATGGTCTAATAAGTTTTTTTTTTTTTAAGATTGTATCGGGGAATTGACAGCATACATGTCGATGCATGCGTGAGCAATGATTAAAAGATAGGATATATAGGACGGTGTGGGGCTGCTACACAGAATATCTTAGTAGTGTGTGATTTCAATATATGTTTTACGTTCGTGATGACTGGCTAGGAAGGGAGTCCTCATAATAGTCGAATTTTTAAATTTACAATCTGATGACGTACATACACATTTCCAATTCCTCTCAAAGTTTAGTACATTTAAGACATTACACGAATCTTTGCACTTTGGGATATGCATTCATGATGTTATTATTCAAGAAAATATTACCTCATGATATTCATTACAAAGAGTTTCTTAAAGCCATTTCCAAACATGATGTATCACCTTCCTGATTTTGAGTGTGACAACTAATATTAGAGAGAGAAATGAACTCTTCAATAAAAAACACTCATCATTACAAAGTGTTATCGAGAGAGCATTCGATGTATGGAAATACTCCGAGATATGCCGACATACTCCAAAAAAACAGGTCAAGATAGTTGTTGCAAAAACAACACCCTAATTTTATACGAAAACATCCATCCTGAGATGATATTGATTTCAAGATCTTAGATGAAAATCTTCCCTACATGCTTGAGGAAGCATTCGAACATCGGGTTGGACATTCACTACCCAATGAGGAAGTTGGTACGACAAGTACTACACATTTGAGGGAGAAGACATGAAATAGATGATCCTACTAACATAAGAGATAATAGATGCTTTGGTGAACACATCAATAATATTTATGTAGCATTACTTGCTAACTTCTTGTTGATAATTTTTATTTTAGCTGTATGTTAGATTTGTAGATGTATAATTTTTTAAATCATTGTAACATTTGTATCAAAGCTTTCTTGATTTGTCATTTTTACATTTTGTTTTTATTATAAAACTATTTAATTTTGTTAATGTTTCTATCGCGTATCACTTTTTTGTCAATTGAAGCCATAATGTATTATAATCACAGGAAATACGAGTTCAAGAGCATCAGATACTTCAAGAGTTTCATCCTATCACCGTAGTACGTGGTGTGTTGATTATCAATCAAGAAGGGAAGACAGCTACGGAAAAAAATTACTGTTATTAGAAATAGGACACCTAAATATTGTAAGTATTTTCGTTGGATTGGTGACACTGATGAATTAGCTTCAGATAGTGATCGGGTCAGGAGAGATGCTGCCCTGGATAGGAGATTATCACGAAAGCTTCATAGTCAGGACAAGAAAACGAAAATCATTTGAGATTTGCTGGTTATTTTGATGATCCTTGTTAATGTAGTTATATGCATAACTGATCATTTTTTTTACACATTAGAGTATTTTGCACTCCAATGAAGTTTTTTGTGTAGCATGAGATGTTTTTATTATTCTGATGTAATTATTTTGAAAAATGCAGTTATTCTGATATGTTATATATATAATGGCAAAATAATCTTTTTCATCATAAAAATTTGCAGCACAACAAATTACCCAAACAAACTGCTACTATTCCATTAGCAGCTTTCTGACAGCACCTGAGAAGTTGCTTATCCAAAAAACAGTTTTACAGCTGCTTCTTGGAAAAACAACAGCCACCCCAAGCGTACCCTAAGAAGAGTGGATAGTAATTTTTTTCCAAAAATAGAAAATGGGGAACCATCGACCATGATTACAATTGGCAGAGGAGACATGTGATGAAAAAATAGCTATCTATTACCTGCATATGAGAGGATTCCTATGAATCTAAAACCCATGATCTGCAAGTGGCAGTGACAACAATACAACAACGACAAATCTTTATCCTACTAAGGGTAAGTTTGGGGTGACGGTGAGGTGTCGCACCACAGTTTTTTCTATCTGACAAAATTGTCTTTTGCTAGCATTCTAAAAAAACACCGGTTGAAAGCTATGTTTTCCCACTAAACCTGAGCACCTGCGGTGGCTGCTAAAAAATTATGGTTTGAATTTTTCAAAAAAAAAAAAAAATTAATAGTCATCGCCGCTTTTTAAGTTTTTTGAACAACTGCTTCTTCAACATCTTCACAGCTGCAACAACCCTAAACAGACCTCGTGGTGTCAGCTACATGAATCCTTTTTTCCATTGCGTCTTATTGAGTGTCATATTTTCATTTAATTATAATAAATTAAGATCATTTTTATGCAATATGCCCAAATTTTTTTAGGTCTACCTCTACCTTTCTTAATACCTTTCTTAAAATAATCTACCTCTACCTTTCTTAAAATAAGTCGAATCTAAAACATTTACTTTCCTAACTAAATCAGCATATGGTCAACGTTTAATGTGACCAAACCATCTAAGATGACTCTCCATAAAATTGTTAGCTGCTGGAGCTACACCGACCATTTTATGAATACATTCGTTTTGCATTTTGTCTCTAAGTGTCAAGCCACTCATCATCCACCTAAGCAATCAAATCTCAACAACACTTTAACTTAGTTTTATGCTTCGCTTTTATAGGCCAACATTCTACGTCATAAAGCATTACAAGTCTCACCACTATCTTATAAAATTTTCCTTCAAGTCTAAGCGATACTTTTCGATCACACAATAGGCTTGATGCATTCCTCCACTTCAACCATACAACTTTAATTCTACTAATAACATCCTCATCAATCACCATTACTTTGAACAATAGACCTGAGATACCTAAGACGTTCACTCAATTCAATGATTTGATAACTTATTGTTACAATTTTGCCGCTAGATCAACAACTACTAAAATTATATTCTAATTATTCAGTTTTAGATCTACTCTAACAAAGGCCTTTAAACTCTAATTTAAACCTCCATAATTCAAGTTTTTCCTTGACTCTTTCTCTGGTTTTATCCGTTGGAAGAATATCATCAGCAGAAACAATAGAGCCCGAGAAAAAGATTGCCTAAGAAATGGAAAGATTTCTACATCTGTTAAAATTCTTAATCGTTCTTAACTAAAAGAATAGTAGCAAATCAAGAACTAGATGATGACTATAACCCAAAGTTACAAGTGATTAATGTTAAGAGTAAAAGAGTATGCATTTTTCCCAACATCCTTCAGAAGGATGAGTGTAGCCATAGTACTAACATAAAGAGAAAGAATTTGATGACAGAAACCACTATCAAATATGATGGCAATACTGACGCTCTAATATCATATTGTGGGAAGAAAATTGGAAATTTTATTCACCGAACAAATTTGGTTTTTTTTTTAGCATGCAGGAAGATCAAATATGAAGAAGAAAAAAGAGATTAAATACAATAAAGAGATATAGTGTAAATCTTCTCAAATTATATAATCTTACTCTATAAAAAATTTCTAATGATATTAATTATTTCCTAAGAAGCTAGCATAATCAATGAAAAACAAAGAAAAAAAAAATTTACTCAGCTGCAATAATAAAATAATCAGTAAATAACAAAAACATATCTCTCCATCCTCTTGTCGTTATGGTTCACAGAATGCTGGAATTCCAATAAAGTCAATACCTCTTACAGCAATACATATCAAAACACATTAACAGGCAAGAACTCTTCATTAACAAAAACATTCGTTTACAGACATTTGAAATCGAAATATGCCGATCTTTGTTTGCAACATGCCAACAGCAAAAGACTAATTCAAAGTAAAATAAGATGGAGATATGTTATCTAAAAAAAATTAAGGAAAAAAAAAGGTGTACGGATACAGCAAATGCATGAAAATTAAGAAAACAAAAAACTGAAATCAGATCGAAAAAACATGGATAAATACGATGGATCCTCAACGACTGTAATTTACATATGCAACTGTTACCTTACGGGCATAGAACAGTAGCATTTCAAAACAATCAATATAAATGGCACCTTCCTGTACCAGCACACATTGAACATTCATCAGCCTTACCAGCAACATGGCTGAGGCAGCGTTGAATACGTTCATTCATCACATCCTGGACAGAAATTCAGGTTTCAAAGTTTATTTATGATAGAAGATAACGGAATAAAGACATAAAAATTTACTTTTAACTTCGGAAAATCAATTTGATTTTATACCATGAAGATCTACTTTGGAAGCAATTTTTAAGTTGAAGGCAATATAGAGAAGTATAGAGAACACTCAGAAAAATCTTGATGGTTTTATTTGATTTTAATGTGGCATATAATTGAATTCCATAACAATTGATCTGATATGTTTTAAGGCATAAAGGTGTGTGTCAAAGACAAGTTTTAGCATTGCTGCTTGAGTTCATATTTTTTATTGGATATTAATTTTATTAGGATGATGTCTACACTTATCATGTATTATTATTAGAAGATAAAGTGATGCCTAAGTGATATAGATTTAAATATTTTAGATCTATTATATAGATGAATGGGATATATGCAAGAATAAAGCATTTAGGATTCAGATTTCATAAAGCAAAATTGCTTGTCAGTGGAGCATTGGCATTGTTAGTTCATTCATATGTTGATATTTGGATAAAGATATTGTGAATTTTGAATAATTCTTTTTCTCCCTGAATATATAGATAATTCATCTATAAATAGGAGAGTACAAGAGATAAAAAGATGAATGAAATCTTCATACAATTAAGTAATTTCTATAATTATGGAATAAACATAAATACCTATAATTAAGGAATTACTCTTTTTATATTATGACTAAATATAGCAAGTACTAAATAGAATTAAAGAAATAATAATGAGCGTAATTCCACACTCCCCCTCAAGGTGGGTTGTACAGATTGTACATGCCCAACTTGTTGGTTAGCTCATCAAAACTGGACTTAGGGGGAGCCTTGGTGAGAATGTCTGCGGTTTGGTCTCTAGAAGGAGTATAGACCAATTCAATGATTCCATTGTCCACCTTCTCTGAAATGAAGTTCCGATCAATCTCAATGTGTTTTGTTCGATCATGATGAACAGGATTCTTTGCGATACTGATTGCAGCTTAATTGTCACAGAACATCTCGATAGAATTTTCTCCTATAATTCCAAACTCCTTGAGAAATCTTTTGATCCACAATCCTTCACAGATACCAAGCGCCAGTGCTATGTATTCTGCTTCTGCACTACTTCGAGATACCACCGATTGCTTCTTACTTTTCCATGTCACTAGATTGCTGCATACATACGAGCAATACCCAGAGGTTGATCGTCGGGTGGATATATCTCCTGCCCAGTCAGCATCAGTAAAGACTTTTACCTTTTGACTATCATTCTTTTTGAATAATAATCCTTTCTCAGGTATCATCTTTAAGTATCTTAAGATACGGTTGACAGCTCCCATATGTTCCTCAGTAGGACAGTTCATGAATCGACTTACTATACTTACTGAAAAATTTATGTCTGGTCTGGTGTGAGATAAGTAAATAAGTCTTCCAACAAGCCGCTGATATCGTCCTTTGTCAACAAGTAAACAATCATTCTCCATTCCAATCTTTTTATACGGGTCTATTGGAGTATCAATTGGTTTGCATCCAAACATACCAGTTTCTTTCAACAGGTCCAATGTGTACTTCAATTGAGTTACGGCTATCCCCATTTTGGATCTTACAACTTCCATTCCCAAGAAGAACTTCAAGTCTCCGAGGTCCTTGATTTCCAGTGTGATCACCGGTAAGAATGATGTCATCAACATACACAATAAGTACAACAATCTTCTTCTCGGATCTTTTTGTGAACATTGTATGATCAGCCTGGCTTTGAGTATAACCGCACTTGATTGCTGAATTGGTGAATCGGGCAAACCAAGCACAGGGAGATTGTTTGGACCATACAGAGATTTCTGGAGGTTGCATACTTCGTCATTAGGGAAGTCAAGATCTCCATTAAGGAATGCATTTTTGACATCAAGTTGCATAAGGGGTCAGTCTCGGTTTGCTGCAATGGAGAGTAGGATTCTAATGGAGTTCAGTTTAGCTACTGGGGCAAATGTCAGTCAATTCCGTATGACTGAGTATAACATTTTGCAACCAGTCGGGCTTTTAACCGATCTATGCTTCCGCTGCCATACATTTGATGGTAAATAACCATCTGCATCCTATTGGTCTCGTATCCTTGGGCAAATCAGACACAATCCACGTTCCACTCTTTTTTAGTGCAGCAACTTCTTCATTCACAGTTTTTCTCCATTCCGGGTGTCAGAAAGCTTCCTGAATAGAATTCAGAACCTTTATGCTGTCAATAGCAGTTACAAATGCATGATAGAGAGGAGATAACCTCTCATATGAAACAAATCAGGCAATAGGATGTTGAGTGTCACTAGTGTCTATAGATTCCGTACCTGAGTGAGTTTCAGAGGATTTTGGAGCCGGATTAGATTCTTGAACAGCAATTGGAAACGGTGCTAGGTTCTCTATTCTTTCAGCAGTTTTGTTTCGTCTTATATAGACCCGAAGTTCCTAAGTGGGTTGTGTAGACTGACGAGGTTGAATAGGAGATGTGGGTTGTGTAGACTGAGGAAGTTGAATAGGAGATGGAGGAGGTTTGACAGTCGGTGAGTGACCCGTGTCAGTTGGTAAAGGAACATATGAATGTTGTTCACTACTACTCTCCCCTTGAATGACAGACCCTTGGTAGTATAATTGATGCTAAAAAAAGGTGACATCCATAGAATTATAGACCTTTTTAGTTGAAGGGCAATAACACTTGTAGCCTTTCTTGTTGGTCGAATATCCTATGAATATGCATTTGACAGATTTGGGGTCTAATTTACTGCGGTGTTGTTTGTGAATATGAACAAAGACGGAACAACCAAATAGTTTGGTAGGGACAACTGAAAAGAGAGTACATGTATTTGGAAATGAGCGAAGGAGGACATCAATTGGACTACAGAAACCCAGAATACGAGAGGGCATCCGATTTATGAGGTAGGCATCGGTCAATGTTGTCTCGCCCCAATAACATTTAGGGATTGATGTATAAACATGAGACAGCGGGCTACCTCCAATAAGGGGCGATTTTTTCGTTCGGCAACCCCATTTTGTTGGGGAGTATCAACACACGTGCTAAGGTAAAAGATGTCATGTTGAGTAAGAAAATTTCCTAGGGAGGTGTTGAAAAAATCTCGTGCATTATCTTTTTTGAGAGCCTGGATTTTTGTGTCAAATTGAGTGAATATCATTTGATAGAATGCACGAAATATTGGTCCTATCTCGGATTTGTCACACATAAGATAGATCCATGTCACCCGTGTGTGATCATCAATAAAGGACACGAACCATTGGGCCCCAGAAATATTTTTTTCACGAGGACCCCAGACGTCACTATGGATCAGAGAAAATGGACGAGTGAGTTTGTATGATAATCGAGGAAATGAAGTACGAGTGTGTTTGACAAGTTGACAAAATTCGCAATTAAAAGAGGTATGACTTTTATTAATAAATAAATGAGAAAACAGTTTCCCCAGGTACATAAAGTTGGGATGACCTAAACGATAATGAAGTAACATGATTTCACTATCATTATTAACGCTGGAATGGAATACAGATGTACTAAGCGGACCACTGCGCAACTCAACACTGCCAATCATCCTCCCCGACTTCAAATCCTGAAATTCACAAACATATGGAAAAAAATTAGCAACACAATGACAATCATGAGTGAGCTTACTAATAGAGATCAGATTGCAATCCAAAGTAGGAACATGAAGCACAGAAGTGAGGAATAAATCTGGAGAGATGAAGACAGAACCAAGACCAGCAACTTTGGAGGCTGATCCATCAGCAATCCGAACAGTGAGGGTCGGATTACACGGCCGGTAATCCATTAATAAGGAGACATCCCCGGTCATATGATCGGAGGCATCTGAGTCAACAATCTAGGGGCGAGAAGAGGTTGAATCCGAGATGAAAGCGGATGGGGAAATACCTTGATAGGTAACAAGGCCGGTGACACCCGATGCCACACTAGTAGGCTGGACTGGTGACAACTGACCGACATCTTCTGGAGGGCATGAATCTGTTCTTCATTGAATGGGCTCGTTCCTAAAGAGGCTTCGGTGGTGCTAGTGGCAGCTGCCCCATGATCCCGTTTGGGTTTCCAATTGGCGGGTTTACCATGAATCTGCCAACACGTATCCGGAGTATGGCCAGAACGGCGGCAGTGGTCACACCAGAGGCGGCCCTGACGTTTGCGATTGTTTGTGGATGGAATATGAGGAACAAGTGCAGACCCGTCGAGGGCAGTAGTGGACAAGGAAGCACCTAACATGACCTTTTGGCGACTCTCTTCGCGGCGTATATCGGAGAAAGCTTCACAAATTGTTGGAAGAGGTTTCAAATTTAAAATCCGCGAGCGATTCTAGTCAAACTCAGATTTGAGGCCGAGAATAAATTTGAAGGTGTGTTTATGTTCTATGATTTGGCGAAATATGACAGAGTCTTCGGGACACTTCTAAGGGTACACCTCGAATAGATCTAGTTGTTGAAGTATTGGGTGACGGAGAGATCACTTTGATGAAAGTCATGAAGAATGGTCTCAACAGCAAATAGTTCGCTTGTATTGTCCAAACTAGAATAAGTCTCACGGGCAACATCCCAGATTTCCTTAGCTGTGCCATAGAGAAGAAAATTTTCGCCAATATCAAGTGCCATCGAGTTAACAAGCCAGGCCATAACCATATTATTATCGGATTTTCAAGTCTTGTATGACGGATCTGTCGTTATTGGAGCTGGAGCATCACCAGTGAGGTAGTCATCTTTGTCTTTGTCGCATACAAACATTATGACTGACTGCGACCATTGGAGGTAATTCTGGCCGGTGAGTTTGTGACTGGTGATGAGGACAAAATTATTGTCCGAATTGCTGAGCAATGGAGACCCAGTCGTGGAGCGGTGGCTAGAAGTGACATCACTAGTGGAGGAGTTGCAGGCATGGCCGTATTTCGTCATTGAGCACGACTGGAACTGGCTGTGCTCAGTCGCGGAAGAAGAGTTGGCGCGGGAGA